CATTACAGTGTAATCAAAACTGTGCAAATACGCAAACACAGAAAAGAAAAAGTTGAAAAGTAATTTGGGGAACAGTGCAAAAATAGTATGGTGATTAATAAATATTACAACTAATACAGTTTTAAGTACACTTTTGGTTTACATTCAGTTGTCGTGTATGTAGTGGTGTTGGTGTACAGTCATTGTGGGTACAGGAAGAAGTGAGGAGAGATCATAGTATGATGGGAGGTAGTGGGGGGATCAACAGCTTGACAGCTCTGGGGAAGAAGCTATTTTGAGTCTAGTTGTGTGCGACTGGAGTGTCCGGAACCTTCTGCCAGATGGTAGGGGGACAAACAAGTTATAACTGGGGTGAGTGGGGTCAGACATAATTTTGGCGGCTTTTTTCAGACTTCTGGTGTTGTAGATTTCCTGGATGGATGGTAAGGCACTGCCGATGATGTGTTGGGCAGTTTTGACCACCTGCTGCATTGCCTTACGGTTGGATGCAGTGCAGTTGCCATACCAGACTGTGATGCAGCTGGTCAGTATGCTCTCCACCGTACATCTGTAGAAGTTGGTGAGGATCTGTGGATGCAGGTGTATTTTCTCCAGCCTTCTCAGGAAGTACAGCCACTGTTGTGCCTTCTTGATGAGACTGGAGGTGTTGAGTGTCCATGTGAGGTCCTGAGAGATGTGAACACCTAGGAATTTGAAGTTACTCACCATCTCCACCGCAGACCCTTCGATGTAGATGGGGGAGTGGACTTTTCCTTGTCTCCTGAAGTTAACGATTAAGTCTGCGGGTTGTTTTATCTCCTCCCTGTAAGGCAGTCTCATCGTTGTCATACTTGATGATGGTGTTTGTGCTGAACTTGGCGGTATAGTCGTGGGTGAACAGGGAGTAAAGCAGTGGGCTGAGCACACAGCCTTGAGGGGCACCGGTGTTAAGGGTGAGCATGTTGGAGATGGCGATGCCAATCCTGACAGTCTGGGGTCTGCTGGTGAGGAAGTCTAGGATCCAGCTGCAGAGGTTGGTATCTAAACCTAGAGCCCTGAGTTTGGTAGAACGTTTTATGGGTATGATGGTGTTAAATGCTGAGCTAAAGTCAATGAATAGCATTCTTGTATAGGTGTTCCTTTTATCCAGGTGGGTTAGTGTGGTGTGTAAAGCTATAGAGATTGCATCCTCCATGGAGCGGTTTGTGTGATAGGCAAACTGGAGAGGATCAAGTGTTTTTGGAATGCTGGCTTTAATGTGTGGAATAAGTAGTTTTTCAAAGCACTTCATTATGATGGGGGTGAGTGCAAAAGGGCGGTAGTCGTTCAGGCATGTGGGTGCTGATTTTTTGGGTACTGGCACAATGGTGGTCGTCTTGAAGCAGCTAGGTACAGTGGCCTAGTGGTACAGCTAGGTAATGTGTGTCTGTTTATGTGTGTAGCAGCACATATATCTTTTCTTCTTCCTTTCTTAGGGACAGCTTCTAAGCTGTTGCAAAAGGAATCTAATGGAGACACATTTATAGTCCCACATAAACAGGTGAACTACTGTATGTAGGTTTTTCTTGGGTGACTGCCAGCTCACATGATTATACAACATGTTCCAGAGAGCCATATGCGGTAAATGAAAAGAAGAGACTTGTAGAAAAGGCTGGAATCAGACAGGTGCACTGTTTAATCTTGATACTTTGTAAACCTTTTTTGTTTGTTTTGTGAAGCTCCAGAGCTCATCAGCAGAGAGGGACCATTTAACCTTCATATTCCATGAGTGGCAGTATTTCATTAATACTCTTTATGAGACCAAGATGTGGTAGGGTAAGGCAAGCAAGGATTGACTACTGACATCTGTTTGGTCTGCACCTCTGCTGCACAATTGGAATAGAGGTTGGGATGCTCTCTGGTGGCGAGATAGTTGAAATGTAACAATATTACTAATATTGAGGATCTAGTACAGACACATCTAGGGTTAGGTAATATGCGACTTACGTAAACTTGGACTTACGCAAATTATTCTAAAAGGTCAGTAGTAAAAAGTCAGAGTTATGAACATTTTGTGTAGCTCATCTACATTATCACTGCTGCCACCTTGCGTGGTGCGCTCCCTCTCTCTCCCTTAGCCTTCAGTCTTGCTTTGTACTTGTGATCAGTTGCTAAAAGAATTTTCACTCATTTTGAAACATTTTCTTGTGTTTGTGACTTCATTGATATTATAATCTTGACTGGAAACAGATACTAAGAGTGCACAACCCATGAGCAAATGCAGGAAAATTGATTTAGAGATAAAAATGAAAATGATAAAGAAATAAAAAGGTAGACAAAACTTATCGACAAAAGCACATGAACTCGGTCTCTCAGTGTCAACAGTGATTACAATTGTAAAGGATGCTGCCCGTATCAAAAGACATGTGAAAGGATCTGCCCCTATAAAGTCAACAAAACTGCGTTTTGGTGCTATGTGACCGAACGCACAACACAACAACCAACCACTTCACAGGCTTCCACATTGCACGAGTCATGCACTGCGTCAGCTGTTGACGAAGGTGATGTCGAGAGAGAGAGGACAGAGAGCAACACACTGGGGTCTATTCGTGTACTTATACAGGGATAGGGTGGCAATTGGGTTCAAGTATAAACCAGGGAACTTGTCACGAAGCAGTTCTTTCCGGGCCCTATGCAGACGACGCAATCTGGGATTGTGAAGATACACTAGGGAGAAAGTCATGCAAGAAAGGGTCTGGATACAGGGGGGCCTGTCCGAGGTGAGCAGGAGTCCTGGGGAAGTGAGTCCGGGCGAACAAACAAAGCCAAAGTCCAAACAGGGAATCCAAACGGAAGAGTAGAGTCCAAGGCCAGGAGATCCATCCAAGGGTTAAAAGCATGAGCCAGGTCGGGACCGGTGGGGCAGGGAATCAGGAATAGAAGGTTAAAACCATAACGGAGCCAGACGCAGCAGGACCCCGGTCTCTCATGAAACGTGATTCAATGAGGAACCCAAAGTGAAGTCTGCGTCTGGCTTTTAAGGGGGAGCGGGAATAGGGAACAGGTGCAGACAATGGGAGAAAACAAGGAAGGGCTGGAGCCCCCTTAAGAGGAGGGGTTAGCGATCGTGACAGAACTATTCACAAGAATCCGGGCGATCTCACCAAACTGTATGCCCATTTTGCAGTGGGTCAGCAGCACTGGCCAGCAGCTTTCCTAGTCCCCGCCCTGACCACTACTACTCCCATCCTGCACCTTGCCACGTACCCCAGCTGGGCGCTCTTCAACCGCAGCGGCAGACGAACGCACTACAATATGTTTTGTTTAAATATTTTAAAAATATTTTATATTTATATTACATTACATTATTAATTATAGAGCTTACTTTTCTGTGTGTACATTATATGAAAAAAAAACTGACAGAAATAACCTGTAAAATGTTCATTGACATAACTATGTACTATACAGTACTGTAAATTAAATATTTTTTGTTTGAATATTTTTCTATTTTTTCAATTCAATTTATTTTTATATAGCGCCTTTCACAACAAGGTTGGCATAAGGTTATTTATAGAACATTGCATTAATTATTAACTAACTTAATTTTCTATGTGTGCTTCAAATGAAAGAAACTGACAGAAATAACATCTTAAACGTTCACTGACGTATCGATGTACTGTAAGGTATTGACCACATGCATGCACACCCTGTGGTGTGTGATTAATGGGTGTTTCGACTTATGTACATTTCTAGTTACATAAGGGTTTCCAGAACAGAGCTATTATATAACTCGAGGTTTGTCTGTGTAAAACTAGGTTATTTGGCTTACCAGCACTAACACAATGCAATACATGTATTACATAGAAGTAAACACCTCTTTGAGGGATTACTATTTTAGTTTCTTAAAGCACCATACATTTATACACAGTACTAATATACTATGAGTTTATTATAATAATTAGATTAGTAGTGCATTAGTGAGACATTTTTATTTTGCTGATTAGAAATTATTTACAGAGGTATCATGATATATTTTTAGTTTCAAAATGGTTTTCAGCTTTATGCATTACATCTTCAACATCTTACTGTCACCACTCAGCCCAATTCTCTTTCACTTTTCATTTCCAGGAAAGAGCTTGTTTTCTTTTCAGTGTTGTCTGCAAGAACTGAATCTGTTGTTTCAACTTTATTTCAAACTAGAAAATTGAAAACCATAACATCCTCCATGAAGGTTAACATATTTGTGAGACATTTTTATGTTTATGCCTTGCTGTTGTACAAAGGTGGTGGAGGAGTAGCTTTCTATACCATCTATCAGACACGCAGCCACTGTCAGAAGACAGACTAAAGTTATTATTGAAGTTATTAATTGAAGTTCGACAGGGATAACAACAACAAATGAATATCTCACAGCTACACCTAATCACCAGCATCATCAAAGTAGCTACATAGACTGAACTCAACGCCTCCATTTGTATTAATCTCAAGCTTCCCTCAGCTGCCCCATCTTGCAGCTTTCCCTTGGTTCACTCAATGGAGTCTGAATGGAGTTTGGATCTCCTAGTCATAGAGCCAGGGGGCTGGCTAGTCATTAACCACAAGCTGGTTTTAAGCCAAACTTCCAAGTATTCCAAGTATTCACAAAGCATTCAGTCCTTAGATGTTGTTGTCCTAAGTGAATTTACTCTCTCCCTTTGCCTTTTCTTCTCCAAAAACATTTTATAGGATGTATCAATTATATTGTTACATGTGGAATTAAAGAGGTTAGTAGTGGAATATTATGACATTCAATGTTAAATACTATTTTATTTTACAATGATTCCAGATGGAGATCAAGCAATTTTTAAAAGTTAAAAGTTAACTGGAGAGACAATTTGTCTGTAGACACAAAAATAAGTTTGTTTTACAATGTGCAGTTTGGTATGGGGATGGGTAACATACAGTATGTATACACAAACTGTTAAAATCCATTTGCTTCCCTCATATTTACAAAATTTACTTAACACACCATTTCCCAAAAGAATTGTAAATGTTTTTCAGGGAAACTTTATTTTAAATGTTAACATACAGTATTGTAAAATACAGAACAGTTCAACACAAACGCCTTGAAGTCAAAACATAAATTTTGAATCATGGAAATGTTTAAACATTAACAGAACAGGTACAATTGTTAATCTACTTAATCTTTTTAGAAAAATATTTTCAAAAACAGGTTTAAGATGATAATCTTGTACATACATCGTTTAGCCATCTGCAAGTTATAAGCTCTTTTTAAATTTAATTAATTTTATTATTTCACATAATTTTGATTACATTTTTACTGCAATGTATACCGTGGTCGCATAGGTCAGACCCAGATCTTAGAAGTGAAACTCAGCTTGGTCAGTACATAAACAATAAGGAAAGGTCAAGTTGCTGCTGTAAATGGAGTTTAAAACAATGGTTCCAGAGGAGGTTTCTTGTGCTTTTTATTTTCTCCCTTGTACATCTTGCACCCTGGCTTATTCCTCATTTAAGGTGTTCTGACAGCTCCATATTTATGAATGAGGTATTGTTCTCCTCAGCTAGGTGAGTAACTCTAATAAAGCTCACTATTTAGAACCAGGAATCTTTTTACATACTACTGAAGTGTTTACTCAGTCTGAATGCTCAAACCAATGCCCCAGAATACAAACAGTTGATACACTACGACACTACTGACACTCCCCAGACTACGGTGACTTCTGTTGTGCTAAAAGGCCAGGACTCGTATTGCGGGAGAACTCTACACTTTCCAGGTTTCATGGACATCTTATTACAACGTACTTATATAATAAAATACAGAACTCAAATTTAAAATATTTGAGGGAATCAGAACTGCATTCTAAGAACCTGAAAAACACAATGTTTTGATCATGGAGCATTCTTTGGGTGTCTTCACTCGATTTATTGTTTGAACAGTCAATTTTAATATGAGATATTGTTTTTACACATTACTTATTCCATATGTAAAAAGAAGCATTACATGAGATAGCATATACAAACAAAAAAATAATGTCTGCTTCAGCAACACAAATTCTCGAAATAGTCATCAGCAAATCTGAGTATCTGCAGCAGGGCAGTCAGGATTAGAAATCAACATCAACATCGTCATTAAGGGTGGTTTCCTCATGGTAGTTCTTCACAGGGAGGATACAATTGGCAGGAATACCAATTATCTGACTGCACTTCTCCATCTGAAATAAATATACAGTATATTTATTAGAAATAGAAAGGTAAGAGAAATAACTGTTAAATCTGTTAAACAATTTGTTTTACCTGGAAATGGTATGTAATATCACAATTAACTGTTAGTGCATTTTATAAGAATACTTGAAATTATTAGAGGATTTGGGGAAAGTACACCTACTGTTTATCTGTAGTATTTCTGATGTGCTGTGGAACAGTACTTTTAAAGAATCTCTTAGAATGTTTTTTTATTATTTTTGAACATTAATGTCTAATTCTGGAACACTGTTTAATAAAGAAAATAGCAAGGGTTCTCATTAAGAGGATCAACTCAAAATAAGAGCATAACTGACATGGGCTGCATTCAGGCTTCTCCCAGATGTTATTCCTGGTTCTTTCGTTAAGAGGATATATTTCTTACAAATGGGAACAAACCTCTTATACTCAATAATTGATAAATATGGGAGTCAGCTATCACTCTTCAGATGTTATTACAAACAGCTCATTATGACTGGCACTGTAAGGTTGATGAGAAACATTTGGAGGTCACTTCTGAACACATACAGTAGAAGATGTCTTATTGTTGTGGAGAATGTCTTATTGTTGAAGTGGACTAAAAGAGTGTGGATTGTTGTTAAAAAGGCAAGATAACCCTCCAGTGTGCAGGCTACTAGCATCCAAATGTACAAAAAAGGTCATTTTTATTTTTATTTTTTATCATCTTCATTATCTAAACTCACCAGTTCTTTGATATATTTGCTCTTGTACACATTTTTGAGATCATCTTTAACCACTGGGCAGGCTAAATCCACTTTTGTTAACAGCACCACCTGTGGAACTCCTGTGCAAAAAAATATTTATTAGATTACAGTTAAGCTTTCCATTGAACACTGACAGACTGAAGGAAATAAACCTTCATAGTCTTGAAATGAGAAGAATAAGAGGGAACCTGATACAAGTAGCTATAATCCTCGTAGGCACTAACAAAGCCAACCCATCAGTTTATGTTAAATTATGAATTATGTGAAAGTGGATTATAACCTCCTCTGGATTATATGTTCTTATATTCCTGCTCTATATGCACGATTCTGTGGAGTTAGGGTTTTTTAAAAACCATGCATTTTTTAATTTAATTTCTCTGTAAAATACAAATAAGATTTTGAATCTTCTATGAATGTTGCTTTGAATAAACTATGAAAATATATGTGCTTTGTTAACAGGTTCTCAAGAACAACATCTTTTTAATGTCTCACCGTTGAGGATTCTCTTACCTAAATCAGTGACCTCTGATTTGACTGTCTTTATTTTGTCCACAATGCCACCAGTCAAGAGGCTCACTTGATCTGCAGACACAATGTAGACAAAGCAGTGAGCCTTGTCATTAAGTGTTGGGCTCTTATTGAAAAATGGAGAATCTTCTGAGAGGGGAGATACCAGATTGAACTTGTGGAGAGAGAGAGAGATGTGGAAATTAACAATTGAGAACACGAGATTTCTGTTAATATAAAGAGTAGCATAAAGGTTATTGTATTGTAAATTTATTTGTCATAATAACTTACAATAAATATCAAAACAAACAAATAGCAAACAATCTGTAATGTGTCCAACCACTCTTTTTCATCTGCAGCTCTGAGCTGTTTTTGTCAACTTTACAGACTTATGAGATGCCTGTCTAGTCCAAGCTGGAGAGCACCCGGGGCTGAACTCGATGTTGAGGAAAAAATTCAGTGAGGCAGAAATACTAATGTGCGCTACTAAGTGCAGTACTAAATACTAAGCTGAAGGCAAAACACATTTTCTCTTTAATATTACAACATAGCTATTTAGAAAAATAATAAATTATTTATATAAATAATCAGGAAAACAATGGTTTGTCTCTACTCTCTAACAATCCCCAGGCTGCAGCAACACTTAAGTCTTCTAAAGATATTTTGAGTAGTATAGTTCATAGTTCAAGCTGGTTAGTACTGGATAAGCAATGGAAAAGCATCTCTAGTGCTATAGAAAAGTGATACAGTATGAATGTTACCTTGTATTTTCTCAGACACATGGCCTTTCACTGCATTGATGATATCTTTTGGATGTGTCCCTTTCCCTTCTTGATCTTCCGTGCCCATAACATCACAGAGAGCAAAAGGGAGCCAAGTGCCATTTGCTCTTTCCCGTATACGGTAGGCTGTATACTAATTATTAAAAGAAAAAATATCTGCACTTAAGGATTTTGGTCATTTTTAAGAAAAAGATTATTCATTTATGTTGACTTAACCACCTGAGTTAACTGAAGTGTATATATCATAAGAATATAACATGCATTTATTATTAGTGTTATAATTTGAAATACAGAAAATTGTCAGTGGACAGACCAATGGAACACATCAGAGACTAGAGTCTGCATACTTCCTACTTCATTTTGCATACTTCTTACTTCATCAGGTCCAAATCTAATGCCATTGTTTGTATCGGTGCTTTTACCAAATGTCTTTGAGATGGTAAGCAACAATGAGCAACACCCACTGCAACTGGCAAACTGTCAGTAGCAGAATGAAGCATGTCTTTGTGTGACAGGGTTATACTTTGTGTGGGGTTACAGATCATATAGGGAGTGTTTTAAGGATTGATTGCATTGTAGAAAGAAATTATTGGGGAAGAGTTTCAATTATGTGTGCCATCTGTTAGAGAACTTAAGTATAGACAATTATCTTTCAAAATGATGGACAATGTAGTTGTAAAGGTACAGCATCAAAGACCAGCACTATGTTGATGGAGGGCTTGACCCAGCATTCCAAAGCATTCCTAGCAAAAGAACTACACACCAAAAATTGATTTCACCTTGTCTTATCCCTAAGAACAGATCTAGAAACAGATTGTCCAAATGTTTGATAATAGTCTAGTACAGCTAGTAACTTTGGGATCAGCTATGTCAAGCAAAACTGAAGAGCTTCAATAATGTGAGATATGACTTTGAGCCCCTTTCTCTCAATTGGTTGTAGATACAGTATACAGTTGTAATGGCTTGTAGTGGAGGACACAGCAGTAATAAACACTTAATGTTTAAAATAGTGAAAAGAGTCAACACATTAAGCAGGGATACCATTTTCAGTCTTGGTGGGCCACAGTCCAGAAGATTTTATATTTCTTTAACTGAAGAAGACCACCCGAAGAGCTGTGAAAAACTATTTTGCTGATATGATTATTTCAGGTGGCTCACACAGCACCCACTAATACTAGCCACATGGTGTATTAGATATATAATTAGATAATTTGATAAATAAGGGATATATATAAGCTCTTGGAATCTGGATTTTGACTAATTGATTTTTACATTAGAAAGTTGTCTCATGACTCACATCACTTAAGACATGGCACAAAATTTCTTAACTTATTTGTGCATTTCTCTTGAAGTACTATCAGCATGTCTCCTTCCCAACGAGAGGAGAAAACACTCTGGACCACGTTTACACCAAGATTCAGAATGTTTACAAGGCTGTACTCCTCCCCCACTATGGAAACTCAGACCATATCACTCTGTTTCTCCTCCTGGCATACAGACAGCTGCACAGGCAAGTGAAACCAGTGGTCAGAACGATGAAAGTATGGTCTGAAGGAGCTGAATCAGTCCTGCAGGACTGTTTTGAATGCACTGACTAGGATGTGTTTAAAGAGGCAGCCACACAGGGATCAAACACTGACAAACAGGAATATGCATCGTCAGTCACAAGCTACATCAGGAAATGTGCTGACGATGTTACAATCACAAAAGAAATAAGAACTTTTCCTAACCAGAAACCATGGATGAACAGTGAGGTTCACATCCTAATCAAAGCAAGGGATGCAGCATTCAAATCGGGCAATAAATCAGAACTAAGGTCAGCCAAGATCAATCTAAACAATAGTATTAAATATGCAAAAACTTAAACAGGAATTAGAGGAACACTTCACCACTAATGACCCAAGGCGCATGTGGCAAGGTATACATGCCCTCACAGACTACAAGAGGAAGAACATCTGTGCATCTGCCCATGATGCCTCCCTGCCTAACGAGCTCAACACCTTCTATGCTCGGTTTGAAGCCAGCAACACAGAACCAGTCAACAGAGCTGCACCCTCCGCAGGTGCTCTCACGTCTGCAGATGAGATGAGGAGATCTCTGCTAAAAGTGAACACACGCAAGGCTGCAGGACCCGACGGTATACCCAGTCACGTCCTCAGAGCCTGCACCAATCAACTGGTGGGTGTATTCACAGACATTTTCAACATGTCTCTGGCCCAAGCCGTAGTCCCCACCTGCTTCAAGACAACCACCATCATCCCAATACCGAAGAATACCACAGTGACATGTGACGGTGGCACTAACACCTGTCACCATGAAATGCTTTGAGAGGCTGATCATGAAGTACATTAAGGACACCATTCCAAACACACTGGACCCATACCAATTTGCCTATCGGCCCAACAGATCCACAGATGACGCAATCTCCATTGCCATAAACACTGCCCTATCCCATCTGGATAAAAAGAACACATACGCAAGACTACTACTCATCGACTTCAGTTCAGCTTTTAACACTATCATTCCAGAGAAACTAGTCAAGAAACTCAGTGCACTGGGTCTAACACCACCCTTTGCAACTGGATTCGAGACTTTCTGACAGGCAGACCTTCTGTCAGGCTTGGTAACCACACCTCCAGCACACTAACTCTGAACACTGGGGTCCCCCAGGGGTGTGTGCTTAGTCCATTACTCTACTCCCTTTACACCAACGATTGCAAGGCCAAACACAACACCAACTGCATCATCATTTGCCGATGACACCACAGTTGTAGGTCTGATCACAGACAATGATGAGAGGGCCTGCAGGGAGGAAGTCAATCTCCTTACAACTAGGTGTGAAGACAACAACCTCATCCTCAACGTCAGCAAAACCAAGGAATTGTTGATTGTTGATTTCAGGAATCTGCAAAACGGACATGCCCCATCCACATCAACAGGACTGAAGTGGAAAGGGTCAGTAACTTCAAATTCCTTGGAGTCCATATCACCGAGGACCTTACATGGTCTCTCAACACCACATGTCTGATCAAGAAAAGCCCAACAGCGCCTGTACTTTCTAAGACGGTTGAAGAAGGCTAAGATATGTCCCCAGATCCTCACTAACTTTTACAGATGCACTACAGAAAGCACACTGACAGGTTGCATCACAGTGTGGTATGGCAACTGCAGTATTGATGACCGCAAAGCCCTACAGTGGGTGGTGAAAACTGCCCAGTCCATCAATGGGGTTGTCCTCCCATCCATACAGGACATTTATGACAGACGGTGCTTGAGGAAAGCTCAAAGCATCATCAAAAACCCCACACACCCCTGCTACAGACTGTATGACCCTCTACTATCTGGAAAATGGTACCGGAGAATTAAACTATTAAACTCCCAGCCTCTCTCACCTACGATCTGAACCTCACAGTGCCTTCTTTCTTACCAAAACTCAAACACACATTGAAATCTACCTCTACCTTACATGTCAAAAAGCTCACTCCCCATCATTTTCTATTCTTTATTTCATTCTGTTGATGCATGCTTTTGCACACCTGATGTTGTTTTGCACATTACCTGTTACCTTTTGTTGTTTTGCACATTGCCTGTTGTTGTTTTGCACACTGCCTGTTGTCTCTGTCTTTCTTTTATTATACAATTGTATTGTTGTTTTGCATGACTTATAGTCTGAGAGCTAGCTAAATAGCATTTTGTTATACCATATACCTGTATATGAGTAAAATGACAATACACTTGAACTTGACTTGAATTTGACTTGAGTGGATAAAATTAAAGGCAGCAGAATGCTTCTTTTTTATTGCCATATAATGTCTTGAAAAATTCTAGTTTTTAAAAGCTTAAAAATTAATCTCTGAAAAAAATATCTCCTTACTTTAAAAGGATCCTCTTCTTGGTTTGTGTCCCAAACTGAAGGACCTTTGAAAACGCTTCAAGGTTCTTAGAACAGCAAAGGGCAAACTGAATTCAGTTCAGTAAGCATAAATAGGTTGATTAAGTGAAGATGCATATACAGTGGTGTGAAAAAGTGTTTGCCCCCTTCCTGATTTCTTATTTTTTTGCATGTTTGTCACACTGAAATGTTTCAGATCATCAAACAAATTGAAATATTAGACAAAGATAACACAAGTAAACACAAAATGCAGTTTTTAAATGAAAGTTTTTATTATTAAGGGAAAAAATAAATCCAAACCTACATGTGTTATCTTTGTCTAATATTTCAATTTGTTTGATGATCTGAAACATTTCAGTGTGACAAACATGCAAAAAAATAAGAAATCAGGAAGGGGGCAAACACTTTTTCACACCACTGTATACAGTATGTAGTTCATTCAGATATTGAGTGGTGGATGTATGTTCCAGCACATCAAGAAATCATCCCTTAGTGGGATCTGGAAATCAGAAACCAGAGCAATAGCACTGTCCTCTGAGGAAGTGTCCTAAAACTCTATAGAAAATTAGTCCATAGACTAATGAACAGTAGAGAGGATGAGTCTGAGTGTTGGGAGTTGGGTTTGAAGCTGCAGAGTGCAGTTTAATTTGTCAGTAGTTGTTCCAAGACCAAAAACCAAGTGTATGACCACACATTTATGAAAAGCCTAGTTTGAGAAGCCATAACACCTGCACATTTTTCTGTCAAGTTTAACATCACAGTTCAGTAGTCAATAGAGTGTTCTATTTCTCACTGAAAATATTTAAACGGAAATGAAAGTTTGAGCGCTTTTGACAGTACTAAAGTTGAAAACTCATGCTACTGACCGACTTAGTAGTGCTAAGGCTCGGGATGTCATATGTCCTTGGAAAACAGAATTAATTGTGTTGAAGCAACTGGACTTCCCAGCACCAACTTGCCCATAGAGCACAATTCTGAATTCTTTTGATTCATTACTGGTTGGTTTCAGGTTCTTGATTTCCTGTAGCAGCTTGTCTTTCTCCCTGTCAAGAAAATAAGGCTTCATGAAGCAGAAGGCAAAGCAGTTCAGTCAGAAAATAAATCTTACTTTGGGTTACAAATGTATGTTTCAGTTGTGCACTCTAACAGATATGGCAGAGCTTTACCATAAGATTAGTAATTCCTATTGATACCAAACATTTTACGTCAGCTGCCAGCAAGTTTTTTACTAGAATGAGTTCTTAATTCAAGGATCAGCCAATAGATACCCTTTATGATGAAGCTCTGCATATTCAATGTTTAGTGATATAAAATAATTGAAGTACAAGATGTAGATTAAAGTATCTATAACACTTGGGTCAGAATCTCAAACTATTCTAGGTATAAAAGGGGACCACATTTCGTAAAACACAATTGTGTGTACTAAAGTTATATAGTAGGAATGTTAAACTTATTTGCTATAGCTTGACATTTATTTTATATTAAGGTCATATATGCAATTAATAAATATCACCCTTAAGTGCAATTAGCAGTCATGGTGAATTAACCGTATGTTCATTGAGTTTGCTGTAATTATTTAAAATGACAAATATCAAAAGTAGTGATTATCATCAACATATGCCATGTAAATCTGTGTTTTGTTTAAAACAATATTGTCGGGATATCTTGATCAACAACTGATTAAATAAATTTGAAACTATATATAGCCATCCTTTGCTTTATGAATTATCAATTTCCAAATCTTTGCTACAATGCAACATTTTTTCACTGTACAAAGCCAATGAAGTGTCTTAAGATTCTAGAGACAATAATTAGCACCTATCTTATGTCAACATTTGTAGATCTTAAGAGCTTCAAATCAAGAAGGAAAATGGGGGGTTTGCTGAGTGGAAGAGTGCCTGAAACACACTGATCAGAAGAATAATCTGGTTTACCTTGGATTATTACGGTCTGAGTAAATGACTAAGAGTCATTAACAGCTAAGGAGCAATGGAAAGAAACAGGCAGGTAGACGACAGACAGAGATGGACAGAGATCAGAGAGCAGAGAAAGGGAAGGACAGAAGAGAAGAGACAGTGGAGGTGGGAGATCCTTGTTCAGATCAGCCTCTAAGACCAGATTTGAGTTATGTATTGGAACCTTGTTAAGACAGCTTTCCCTTCTGTTTTTATGAAACTCTAATTTCCTGTATAAAGAATCCCTAAGTTAAAATGGCCTCTCCTATTTAATGAATGAATTTTTAGAATAGGGAGAAAGGTTTCCCATTCATCTTGAAGCATCCAGATTAATTTAAAGATAGATTTTACTATAGTTTGTATTGTGTTTGGTGCAGAAGGCACCAAACACAAGAAGAAGAACCTATTTTTGGGTTGGTTAGGTCAGTTAGCTGTATTTGACTTGTTAACTGCTGCACTAAATTAGGTGATAACTATCATAAACATGCAGCAGTTATGTATTTTGATTCTTATTTTGATTAAGCAGTACTCTTAAGGTAACAATGAGAAATACTGGGCAATTTTCCAAACCTCAGCAATAAGTTGTAAGCATTTACATGCAAATTACAAAGAGATGAATGCATTAATTCCCTATGTACTTGAATATAAGATCAGCCATAGCCTATTTTTTTGGCTTTTCATAATGTCTTTGCAGCAATACACATTTTACTTACTCTCTTCCCCAGGCAACATGTCTCCATGGCACATCAAATTCTATAAAAAAAAAAACATGGCCAGGTGAGAATACAAAATAAATCATGAGAAAACAGGATCTAATGACTTTGAATATATGTTTTTGTTGCCTTTAGGCAGGTAAAATTATTTTTTTCGATATAAGAATCAAGTGTATCATCTCCAGTAGCTTGTTCCATACAATATATTTTTTGTAACATATACTAATAACTCTACACAATATTCTAAATGAAATCTTATTAAACTAATGGTAAACATAAGACAAAATACAAATGACAAAAGTCTAAAAAAGTCAAAGCTACAGAAAGGTCCTCTGATGAAAGAGATGACAAGATGAAAGAGATGCCATAACGGTATTATGCTATCTTGTGATGGTAAAACCAGATTTGAGACACCTGGTGCGCAAAACAATGTTGATCGGGTCGAGATAGAGGAGTCACTGAGGGATAGCGTTCCGCCCGGTTGGTGCGGTAAACCCAGGACTGAGTTTCCTGCCTGGAAGAGGATGCAAGTGTATTTTTCCCCACACACAGGGAGGAAGATGGTTCAAGAGGCAAAACTTTCTCCAAGGATCACAGTTGGACAATTGCTGGAGTTGGTTGCATCCTGGGGTCACCAAGTCTCCAAAACTACAATTAGACGCCCTCTCCATGCCAACAACTATTTGGAAGGCTTGCCAGAAGAAAGCCTCTGCGGTTGTTAAAAACACAAATGTAAGCGTCTGGAGTTCATTAAACATTACTGGAACTTTGATTGGAACCAGGTTCTATGGTCAGATGAGACAAAAATAGAGCTTGTTGAAAACAAACACCAGAGGTGAGTTTGGCATAAAAAGAGTCAAGGTTATGCAGAAAAGAACCCAATCCTCACTGTGAAGTATGGTGGTGGATCTGTGATGTTGTAGGGCTGTTTATCTTCCAAAGGCCATGGGAATCTTGTTAGGATACATGGCATCATGGACTTTTAAATCAAAATCTGTCTGCCTCAGCCAGGAGCATAAGGCTGGGTCATGATTGGATCTTCCAGCAGGACAATGATCCAAAGCATACCTCCAAATCCACAGAGAAATGGTTCACTGACCACAGAATCAAGCTTTTGCGATGGCAAAACCATTGCCAGACCTAAACCCCATTGAAAACCTGTGGGATGAGATCCCTTTATGTGTGTTCTCCTACCTCATCAGGCATTATAAGAGATGACTCAGTGCTGTTATCTTGGCAAAAAGAGGGTGCACAAAGTACTAAATGCAAGGGTGCCAATAATTGTGACATACAGTATGTGTTTTTGAGAAAAATGTTTTTTATAAGGATTTGTTTTCCTTTGAATAATTTTACACCACTGAAATGTTAGATTTCTCTCATATTTTCAGAGTAAGATCAATCTGATAAACAACAAAGACATTTTTTCATAGCCTTTCTTGCTCATCTCTACCAAGAGTGCCAATAATTCTGGAGAGCACTGTAGATAGTGCTCTGATTGTTTTTCTTGGGTTTTATTTCTGATTCTATTTCCTCCTGACGCTATTTAGCTTCAGTCTTTCTGTATTTCACCAGAGATTCTTGCCCCAAATCAATTGGTTAACATTATTCTTCGCTGATTTGCAATTCAGGACACAAGGTAATTAGTCAAGTTTATTTATCTGTATTATTAATAAAAATGTAAAAGAAATAATTTTTAAACTAAGCTTGCTGCTGCTTCTCTTCTCTGGTTTTGGTTTGCTGTTTTTTTGTTTTAATTTTTCCTCTACTTCTTTAGTTTTTTTTCCCTAGTTCTTCTGGATGTTTGTGTTTTCTTTAAATTGCTAATCCAGATTGATTTTGTCACACCCTACTGCATGTTTCTGCACTGAAGTGGATGGCCCTGGCAAGTTTCAGTTATTGCCTAGCTCTGTACTGTGTGTTATGGATTCTGATACTGTTGCCACCAGTCTCCTGCTGCTACTTTCTGTGGTTTAATGTTATTAATGTAGTTACTCGATAATTTAAAAAAAACTGCAAGACTGTATAGTGAAACTTTTCTATATGGAAAGACATGACATGGACATGAATGTATATGGAAACATAATTCAGGTACTATTTTATTGTTAAAGTTGCAGCTCAAAGTTCAAGATGCTGGAAATTATCCAATTATCTATCACTTGATAAATTAAAAGCTATAATCTTGGTTACAACAAAGCCTTTTAAAAAAGTAGGATATAACAGATTAATTAGCCTACCTTCTGCCATTTTCTCAGATTCACGTTGATTTTCACAGCTAAAGAGAAAGAGAATGAGGTTTAATCACATTATGAACATACTGGACTCGTGGAAGTAGGTGTATATCGCCCCTTTAACCATTTGATTCACGTTAAAATTTAGCAAAAGTGTTGGAAAAACTGTTTATTCACATTACTGAGCTACATTTGTTTGGCGTAATCATTAAGGGAAAATGCATTATGTTTTGGGATGTTTGTAAGTTTTTATTTATTGACATAGAAAGCTCTAATAATACCCTATCAATTACAGTTAGACAGCATTATAGAGAGATTTGAAAGGAAAATTAGGACTATGAGAATGAAAGTATCTGAACTGAGCTGCTTCTTCAAAAACGGCAATGTTTGTCTACCACAGCAGTGCATGCAAGGTTTTGTGTGGTTGTGCAAGTAACCACAAGATACTTTAATATCTGGAATAATGGTTATATCCCATTGCAAAGTCTGTTACAAACATGTTACAAGACCCAGTCAGGTGTTAAAAGTTAAAAGTGGACTTTTTAACTTACCAGTTACAGCAAAAAAGAACCAGCTTACTATACTAAATCTTCACAGCACAATCCCCAGATAAAGTTAGGAGAGGAGTAGTATAATCAAGTTCCTGTTTTTAATTTCATTTTCACTCATCTGTGTAATCCACCGTGCTTGCTAAAGGAAGAAGGAGGCTGGCAGAGTGATGGTACTTTCCGTTTGCCTAATCTACAAAAATAATTAGCATAATTGTTACGCCCCATCCTTTTACTGGAGTCTCTACTGTTTACAGGAAGCTTATGCTACATCTGTTTGGGAAATTCCTCAGTAAGTCAGTTAATTTGGGTCAATACAGTACACACATGACTAATTTGTAGTATTGCTTGTATTATAAGGGTAATACATGGCTTTACCTGCAGTAATCCAGTGTGAGCTCAGTATCACTACTGAAACTGAAATAGTGTAAACACTTTTGTTTCTTTTTATTTGATTTTTTGTATATTTTGTATATACTGTAGAAACTCCCAAAGAGGAGAAAAAGGAAAAGCCAGTCTGTCAGTATTGTAAGAGACTGGGCCATTTTTATAAAGCCTTTAGACAATGGTTAAAAGCAAGAAGACAGTGACAGAGAGGGAAGGGGTCCCCCTCATAACCCTACTGATAGAGAGGGTGAGAAGGGGTTGATATCTCAATAAAAAAACATGTCAGAAGCTGAAACGAGAGCCTTGCATGAAATAATACTGTAGATTTCAACTAGGAAGCCCCTTTGTATCCCCTGTGGTGTCTCCGGGGGAGAGTTTATGTAAACGAAGGTAGTACTTACACCACACTTTTCTTTCCTCAGATCCATGGCGTTTCTTCCAATAACTGTCTTCCTAATACAGTCCGTAATCCGTTCCCTTAGTCCTGATCCGTTCCAAGTTCCAAAAGTCCGTAATAAAGCCAATCTGCGATGTATCCTTAACCAGTGTCCATAATCCAAAGCCATAAACCTTTTCTCCTTCCAGTAGTCAAAAAGTAGTCCAGTAGTGTTATTCCTTAGCCCGATCCTTAACATGCACCTCTTTCTACTCTTTTCCTCCAAAACGCATTCACCTTACCGGTTTCCACCCTGTTCACTGCCTCCGGGGCACTTATATTTCGGTTCCTGATGCGGCTCAGCTGTGTCTCATTGTTTCTTAAGGTAGACCCTTTCCATCTACTGGTCAGCTGATTCTTTTTGTCCGCCATCTTGCTAAGGTCCATCTCTAGTATTTTCAGTGTTTCGTTCCGGAAATACCTGTTAGAGATGACCCTTCCCCGGGTCCTCTAACACCCCCCTAAGCTTATCTCAGGATATAAAGGGAGATACAAGCTATTACAATATCCTTGGGAAAAGATGTACAGTTTCAACTACAGATATGGATGGGGGACCTATTTGGCTGGGATGCCCTGCAGCATTTACAGATGCAGCCATTCAAAGTGAGCGGTACAGACACGTACCGCAGGTAAGATAACACGGGGTACCGCGGTGCGTGATTGGTTGACCGACAGGGGCACTCGTGGTCCGTTGGTCTGTCGTAGAAAGACTTACTGTAAACGTCTTTACTGTGCCCGTTGTAGATATTGAATTTTACCACTGAAGGGAAATCTT